TAATGAATTCCGCGAAGTAATGATGGTGAGATATCAACAGAATATATGAAGAGTGTAGGAATGGTGAAGTGAACAAAAGAATATGAGAAATATATGGTTGTGGGACTCAAGATACGGTTTTATAGGTTTACTTGTTTCTTATTGTATAACAATGCACGATTAAAAGAAAGCATGAAAACACAATTGAATAAGAACACAAGGAATGAAAAATCTCTTAAAAAGTCACTTTAGAAATGGCAATACAAGAAAAGTGTGTACGTTGTGTTCAAGTATTTTCCACATAATACTACACTTTGATGGTTCTTAGTTTAGCCTGGTGTAGTGGAATGCCTGGTTAAGTGAAAACAAGTCCTTTTTCAGTCACAGCTCACCATCTGCTTCTGTTATGTCCATCTTGAAATGGTAGAGCGTAGCATGTTTGGTGGTATTTCAGAGGCTCAAGTAGTCCAAAACAAACAATCCCTATTGTTACTGGCATAGAGTATACTTTGTGTGTGTGTGCATGACAGTGTTTATGTATGTGTGCCTTTGTGTATACTCTCACATGTCTGTTGGCTGTTTATTTGTTTTAATATCTGAGTGGCAGGCTGCACTAATTATGCACATATTTGATAGTTACTTTAAAGCAAGTTGTTTCAGATTTTGCCACCATTGTTTTTTCTCTTCTCATCTCTTCCTCCCCCATCCCTCCCTCTCTCTCTCAGAGCTGAGGTCATATTTGGCTGGGTTTGGTGTGGGCTGGAGTCTGTTTTTCTCATCAGTCAGTGTAGCTCTCAAGAATGCTACATGTGTGAAGGAAAGGGGGTTTATCTGCTCTGTTGGTTATGAAAGTCTGTTTTTAGTATGGCTGCTTCGTCATTACAGACACAACGCTAATCAAATGGAGAGAAAGAGAGAAGGGCATGCAATTGGCTAACTTGGGTGGGACTTGTAGCTACACAGCTTTAATTGAGATATTCATATATTAAACTGCACTGTAACTTTTATTCATGTATTTTTTCTTTTAATGTTTATTTTATTATCTTTGCTTTTTAATGACTTGCCTTGCCTTGCCTTACACAAGAGGGACTGTAAAACTGTTTCTGGATTCATTGTCTTGCTCAAGGACACTTCAGCAGGGTATAGAATACACTTGTGATGTGAACCTGAACACTTACCGTCTTGTGAAGTGAGAACGGTCCCTCTGTGCTCACTATACCACACTGCTGGCATATCTTTAATATCGATCAGTGGTTTCCCACAGCATTTGATATTATCCTCTCTTTCAGACAGTGGCAACATAGTAGAAGAACATTAAAAAAAATATATAATATCAAGAACTCTGAAAACTGAAAAAGTAGTGTTTCTTGATGCCATCATTACACTTTATTTACTTTATTTCAGTGATACGTGTCCTTCCTGTGGATAGAAAAGAGAAGATTTAACAATGTCAAGTAAGGCAGGAATTGTAGGAGGTGATCAGGGGCCTCATGTATAACGCCGTGCGTAGGATTCACGTGGGAAGGTTGCTTACGTAGTAGAAATCCGAAAAATAGGTCCATACATTTTCCGCCACTTCCCGATTCACCAAACATTGCGCACCGGCGAGGAAAGTGCGTACAGCACTTCCTACGCTGGTTTCCCTTTATAAATCACAACCGACTCGAAATGCGGTGCAGCTTTTGCGGGCTTCACGTAACGCCCATATTTGCCTATAAATAGTCAAAGAAACGCCTTTTCATTCATTCATTCTGACTGACTTTATGAAGGAGATCGCAGGAAATGACGACAGAACAGTTAAAAAAGACATCTCACGCCGTGTCAGATGTGGGTTATTTTGGGGAGGTGGAGATAAATCATATTGTTTGGTGGATGCCGTTTGAACCAGAGTAGCAGCATGGAGGTCGGATCGTCACCAAAATAAATAAATAAATGGCCCGAAAAAGGCTAATGACAAAAACAATACACATAGCCTTCCTCAGGCAGTGTGTTTGTACCGGGGACAGGAGACCCCCCCCTTGATGAGAGACTGTAAGAAATGATCGGGGAATCCCTCCGGAGTGGAGTCATGATGACTGGATCTGAATTATGTTTTTGTATTTGGTGGTTTGTGTCCCAGCTGTCGATCAGCTGTGCGCAGCGTCTCCACTGCAGCCTGTGCGTCTCAACCCCGCCCCCCGCAGCAACCCTATATCCACCAGTTAAAGGAAATACAACTAATGGGTTGTGTTATATCAGCTGTACAATTTACCACATATGGTGTTCTTAGCTTCCATACCTCCTGTGTTTTACGAGCGACTTATCAAGTCTTGGCAAACGGCATAAAACACGATTAAACGTGATAGTATATACAACCATGCTCGTATCTACAACCTATAGAAATGCAACACGGCGTCAGTTTAAAGTAATGCTGTCCTCCTGCTTACCGCATCATTTATGAGAAAACATTTCATAACATTAACACAACATATTCGAGATGGTTTTAAATAACATATCCGTATTTATTTATTTCTCCAAGTTATGTTCTTGTGTGCACTGAGGAGTCTCAAACAGGCATTTGTTTAATCATTTTAAGATTGGCTTTAATCAATGTTTGAAAATGAATTCTTCATATATGATAAATGAGAGGTAACATTTTGTTTATGGTATTATTTCCACATATTTCTCTCCATTCTTCCTTCTGCCAACGGTGTCGCAGTTTCTCGTCTCTCCCGTTGTTGTGCTTAGTGCGTACGCATGGGTTAGAGTTTGCGTGGAGGACCGCACGTTTTCCCGTCAAGTTAGTATTTTATAAATCGCAAACATTGCGTAGAAACTGGCGTACGCCATTTTTTGAGCGTATATCGCTTTATAAATGAGGCCCCTGGTCCTTACTCTAATAATACATTTAAGAAATATATATATTTTCAATTTTTTCTTAACTTTCTATTTTGTGTTGCTTTTGTAAAATCATTGCTTTTGTAATTCCCCTCACCTTGGTAATGTCCAAGACAGGGATTAAGTAAAGTCCTGTGGAGAAAAATGCCTGCAAATAGGATATTTGCAAATCCATCCCAATGAAAGCTCTGGCAGAACAAAGAGTCTCCCTCAGCACAGTGTACCTCATGTGCAAGCCTGTTCCAGGTGGGTGGAGAATTTCTGCATGCAATTAAGACTCCTTCAGAGGCATAGTGACCTTTGACCTTGACTGCTCGTAAATGGTGACCTTTAGGAATGTCTTGAGGACCAAGGATTGGTAATTGTGGATTGGTGTCTGAGCTCTGGATGCCGGTAGGACTAATGAGGGAATAGAGAGTGTTGTTTATATAGTTACTGTGGCTAGACTAATCTGTAAGGAGATATGTGAATGATCCGGGCGCCACAAAGCTCATATAATGCCTGGGAGCGCTTCAGAAGGTTTCCATGACTTTTTCATATTCTGACGAAATCTTATTTAAAAATACTTGGTTTTGCTTGGTGTTATAAGGAATTTTAAGGAAAAGCCTGTTCGCATTAACTGAAAAATAAATAAATGAGAAGGCATTTTTAAGTTGCCCGCTCACACGTGCAGGGTCAGCTTGCAGATGGCTCAATTGGGCGCGCACAATATAGTTAGTGTCCTCAGCACACTCACACACATGCCGATTGACATTTGTTGCTCTTTGTTCTTTGGACAGACAGAGACTTGTTGTGTCAGGAAAAATTGATTGTGATTCAGAGATGCTAACTGAGTTAGCTGGCCTCTTGTCAGCCTCTTTGCCAAACTGCTATTGTTTTTAATGTAGATCTTTGTGAGAGTAGGCCCAAACTTTTTTTTCTATTTGTGTGTCATTCTCACTGTGTCTCATTCACTTCCTGCTTCAGACACACATCCATAAACACAGACCAGTCACCTTTGGCCCACTGTAATAGCTGCTCATGGCCTTACACTCTTTCCACCCCGCTCCAGATGTTATTGACACACCCAAGGAGTCCTGCAGAGAGACATTTACGGAGACACGCAGCCAAACACACACACGCACACAATTCTTCTCTCTGCATGCAACCTTGTAAAGTTACTTACACACACACACACACACACACACACACACACACACACACACACACACACACACACACACACACACACACACACACACACACACACACACACACACACACACACACACACACACACACACACACAACACACACACACACACACACACACACACACACACACACACACACACACACACACACTTGCCCCCAGTTGTGCTTCAAACACACAGATAATTCAGGACGATGTTAGAGTCATGTCAAACAGCACGTGGGTTCGTTTTGGACTCTGAACTGTTGGTTTTGATAACATGCAGGGAGACGCTTGGCCTTACAAGCCCCAAAGTAAAAATCCTATTTATCTTTTGGTTTGTTTTTCTTTGGTTGATTATGAGACCTTGGAGATTCTGCAACAAAGCTAACATCTTAAAATAACACTGCGCTTAGTTTGTTCAGCAGTAGAGTTATATCTCACTGATCTCATGGTAACACATCATGAGTTGTTGAGTTGCCACGGTGACCTGCAGTTTGACTGACTGCAGGGTACGGTAGAACAGGTTTTCACCTGCAAAATATGTTTGTTTCACAGTCAGGAGCCATCCATCTGAGTCAAACACTGAATGAAGGTCATTGTGTTGACCTTCCTGTTTTACGCATGTACTGTAAAGGCCTCTGGGAATGGGGAAACAAGTATGCATGTGTCACAGCTGAAGAGAATTCATATTGGTTGGTGCAATGTAGAGAAGTGTGTTATGGCTAAGACAACATGTGTGCGGTAAAACATCTGGCTGTGCAGGTCTGTGTGTCCTCTGTGAACAATAAAATACTGAACACATGGCGTACGCAGCTCTCTACATACTCAAGCTCAGATATGGAAGTTTTAGGCACACAAAAATCAAGCAGTCGTTTTGTTCAACCTGTGTTTTGTTGACATTACTAATGTCATGTCTATGTCACTCCTATTGCACAGTAGCTGACCTGTGTGTTTTTCTGTGTGTCCTCAGGGCAATATTCGCATATGATGGAGTCACCAACAAGCTCAAGCTGGCTGACTCAGGAGGTAAAATGGATTGTAATAAGTGGCGTGTTTGTAATGCTAACTTTGTATTTCTAAGCCCTGCAAAGAATGACACTGACAGGATTTTGACTTTAAGCCTAAAAGGAATACACCTCACCTCTTGTGTTAAGAGAACATTCTTACAACTGTTGAGCAAAAATGGATCATGTCATTGCATTTGTTCCCTAATTTCTAACAGCGGGTGGTGTGGCAGAACTGTCCGGCAAATTTCACATCTCCAAGCCTCAATACGGACTGTGCAAAGTGGGAAGTGTGGAGACAGGAGGCCCCCGGATTGCTATGATCAACTGGGTGAGTGGCAGGCTGGCTCCTGGGGCTTAGCACTTGTAAGCACAAGCTTATCACGTTAAAGAAACACACAGCAGCACAAATTACAGGAAGACACATAAACCTATGAAAGTAGCAGGTACACTGAGGTGCTCACAGACTTGCATTCATAAAGATTCAGCAATGACATTTAGCAGTTGCAAGACAATGGGTTTAACATCTTAAGTAGTCACATACTGAAAACTCTATGGACTCATTAATCTGTTAAATGCTCTGTGGAAAATCCTAAGCTTCTTGACTTATTCACATTCTATAGTTTTGTTTTGACATGGGCTTATTTGGCATCAGACATGTGGTAGGATGTATTATAACTTAATTGTATTACATACAAATCTTTATGAATCGCAGGGCATGTCTAATATTTGTATTTATCAGTGTACTGCACTGAAATGAATCTATTGAATTACATTTTTTGCAGGTCTGTAACCTTGATTTGTTAATAATATATATATATATGAAAATAAGTCCAGTAAAATAATGCTGAAAGGGTTTACAATGACACCAATCTGCTGTTATATTGGCCATATTAAAGGAAATCAGTGTCAAAAATTATTTTCATATTAGGTTTGTAAATACTCAAAACAATACCGATGCTTTGAATTATACTCCATAATACAATAGCTGCCCACTGCTCCTAGTACTAGACTCTTGTACTAGGATGGGTTAAATGCAGAGGCCACATTTCACTGTGTGTGCTGTGTGCTCTGCATGTGTGACCATTAAAAGAGGGTTTCATCCCTCCCAATTCTAATTCTAATAATGAGCTAATATTTGAGCTTCTATGTTTTCATTATCAAAATGGTCAAACAGAGATTTTACCACAGCAATGTGAATCCTATTGTTCTAGTGTTATTTTAGTCCACTCCAAGAGAGGTATGATATGAATGTAAGTGTCCCCATCCTGTCTTTGTCTGCAGGTCGGTCAAAATGTGGATGACTTCCGAAGGACAGAATGTGCCAGCCACATTCCAGCCATCAAAAACTTTTTCAAGGTGCAGTACATCATGATGTGCAAAATCATAAATCACTAACCCTTGTGGGCTTCATCCATAGCTTTGTCTATTTGTTTAGTTTCCCATTAAATGTGTATTAAAGATGACAGAATTGCAGCTTTGATATTTGCGGTCAGGGGTGAGACTCAAGTAGTCATGTTCATGAAAAGAATATACCTGTCACAAACCGAAATTCTTGCTAAACAAAAAATATTTCTGTCCAACATCCCCCCCCCCCTGGACTCTAGACTTTGTGCTCACAAACTCTATATTTACTCACGGGAGTTTACTTTGTATTGTTTAGAGAGTTTCCTGTCCTCAGTCCACTTCCTGTTCTGTTGCAGTGTTGGTCATGTGATTGGTCTATCCATGCCATGTTGCTATCAGGGAGAGACAGCTACATTTGGGTTTAAAAGCTCCATTGTTTGAGGTGCTACCTGAATTCACGTCACAAACTCACGCCGTGACACGAAGTAGAGGGAATAGAAAAAAAGCTCATTCATCTATATTTTTTATGATTCAGGTTCATGTGTTTTTTATGAATAGTATATAAGCAACTCTGTCCAACTCAATGTTAACTGCAACTTCTGTCAGTGTGTGCTCCTCAAACTGTGTTTATTTAGTGTCACAGCAAACTAGAGGTTCTAATGACTCCTAGGTTTACTAGTTTCCATATAAAGGCATCATCCAGTCAACTGCAGAAGCATCTGTGGAATGTTTGTTGTTTTTTGTCCCTTTTTTTTTTTTTAAACGGTGAATGTGAAAGTCAAGACTGGGATTATGTGAGCCTCTGACTGAAACCCGTGTGTGTGCGTGTGTGTGTGTGTGTGTGTGTGTGTGTGTGTGTGTGTGTGTGTGTGTGTGTGTGTGTGTGTGTGTGTGTGTGTGCGTGTGTGTGTGTGTGTGTGTTGGTCCTGTGTGCATGTCATTTTGGGATTAGAAAAGTGTACAGAAATTATTACATTGTAAATATTACTTAGATTAAATGTGTCTATCCTTCAGACAATTGTGGGACAATTGTGACCCCCTAACCTTGCCACACACACACACACACACACACACACACACACACACACACACACACACACACACACACACACACACACACACACACACACACACACACACACACACACACACACACACACAAACTCACTATTGTCACCACTACTTCTCTGTGATTACGGCAACAAATGGAACTCAATCATGACCAAACTGTTGTTCTGAATAGTTTACACTTTGAGAATAAGAAAGAAACGTTTCTTAGATGTATTATATATCTGGTTCATATTAATAGACAACATATTATATCACCTTGCACCATGGCCATCCCTGCCAAGCATATGGATTGCATTTGCCAAGACTGTAGTGACATAACTGTGCTATCCTGTTTCCTGTTCATTCCAACTTTACGAGCAAACGTGGCGTTTTCACACATTTTTAAGGCACAGTAATCCTCTTGACTCATCTTTCCCATCAAGTTCATTGCTCGTAAAGGGAAACAAATGTTTTAACGTGCTTCATATGCCGGTAAAGAAAGCATTGTTGAAAACGTGTAAAGCACAGCTGTCTGCGTCATATCTCGCTCTGTAAAATCATCTGGGATTGGCGTGTGATTAATTCCTGAAAAAATATTACTCACAGCAGTTGGATAATAATTTATATTTATCTTCAAAAGGATTTCACATCCACATGGCAACAATTAGTACACCAAGAAGTGACCCACTGTATAGAGATTCAGTAATTGTAGATACCTCACAGATTTCTCATGTTTTAAAGATAACAGGCATCAATTACTTCAATCGCCGCCTCCATGTATCTGTATCTTGACAATTTTAACTTAAGAAACAATGTTTATTAATTAATAAAAAAAAAGTCAATCAGTTAATATGTTTATTTTTAATTCAAAGTATTTTTTTGACAATAATTGTGAATGTGGCACTTTTTAATAATGGTCTATTTTGACGACAGGAAATCCAAACGTTATCAGCCAATGCTCAGGCCAAGTCAAGGACATGGCATTACAAAATACATTTTGTGAAAACTCAAAGGCTTCCTGTTTTTAGGCCACTTCTACATAATTCTTTTGTGAATTAAAATATAATTAAACAGTTTTTATATGTTCTCAGGGGATGTTGGATGGGACGTTGGATAGATATTAATATTACAGGTTTTACAAGGTTGTATTTAAATGTTGTCCACAGAAAATAAACAGACACCGCAGCCTAACAATCCTGACTCACAGCTAAATTCATACTTGACCTTGCAATTTACGGGAAACAGAACTACTGAGATAACCCATGTACATAAATCGACTGATGTGATGATAACTGGGGGCTCAATGAACTTGTTTTCTTGGAGTCTTGGCTTTCATTGCCTTGGATGCAGTTAGTTAGATTTTCCCTTGGCACTTAGTTGGTGTGTTTTTGTTGTTTGCCTTTTTCCTCTTTCATTTTGTTCACGTTGTCTTCCTGGCTTGCTATGCTGCATGTTCCAGCTGGCAGTGAGGGGCTTTCTTTAAGGCGAGTCTGCAGCAGCAGATTTGGATACATTACATACTGTACTCCTGGGTGGCGTTAAGTTATGACAACTTTAATATGAATAGGGTGCAGCTGATTTCATTGTTCTCCGATAACACTAGAATAATAACTGAATAAAGTGAGTCAGAAGGGTGTGTGTGTGTGTGTCAGATCAGATGTTGGTGTGTCAGATCAGATGTTGATACTGTGAGTGATACACTGGAGGATAACATGATCTAATATAGTATTAGAAAGTGTTGTACAATTGGAAATGAAGCAACAAGTGAAACTGAATCATTTTTCTTTAATTTAATAAAAATCCATGCTTTAATTAATCAAACATTTAAGAAGCATAACCATATTTGTCCACGAAAAGGTCTGACAGAAAAACTGTCTTTTTCTGTGGAGCATGATATTTGGATTTTAACAAAGAACAATAATGGTATTATAAACGTGGAGCAAAGCAACTTGTGCAGGTCGAGGCACTAAACCCTGAAGCACTTCATCATTCTCGTCTGTCCTGTCGCCCGACACACACTTGAGATCAGAGGCTTTACTTTCATGTCAACCAACATAGGCCTCTTTGCTCCTCCTGTCTTAATTAAACTGAGGAGCTGTCACTACCAATGTGGAACATTATGTCATAAATATACCAATAAATAATCTAACTGCCCATGAATCACCTAACATTATCTTTTTTACATTTAAAGAAACTTATTCAACACAGTGATGTACACAATTGAACAACATTTTAATGAGGAATTCTTGGTGCAATAATAAAACTGGGTCAGACTTCATCTTGGGACACTTGAGTATCCCCGCATCCACGTACTGCATCTGCCTGAACAGACACGCTAAGTCAGACAGTCTGTGTGAAGCCGTTCCACAGCGGACAGTTTGTATAGAGTTGAGCACAACTATATATTTAGCCTGTATTTCGCAACCTGTCACATCACCTTGGATAGTATTCTTATTCCCATCGTCATTTTCATCGCCAAGGTTAATAATGCTACAAATACTTGATTCTAAGTCAACATGCCCGTTGGACGTTATGCAGAGATGTTTCCTTAGATATGGGGGATTATGCCTCACGTTCCTGAATAAAGCAGTTTACTGTTGAAGCAGCAGTAAAACATCTTGCCAATTGGCATGTGTGAATACTTTGCATTTACAGCAAAACACATGTAATTGGGCGGAAACAGATGGAAAATAACATTTAGGGAATTGTGAGAGACAATCTTAGGGACTTTATTTAAACTTTAACACATGTGATTTACATATTGAATAAAATAATACAAAAGGAATCCAGGTCCTAAAGTGCCTCAGTGCTGTTAAATGACTCCACAAGAGTTTTAAAAAGTAAGGTATATATTTAGAGATCATTTGCGTGAAAAATTGTAGAAGCATGGAAGAAAATATCTTATTTGTCCTGCTTTTTCATAAACTACGAGTATAGTGACACCATCACTAACCCTGGCAGTGTTTGTACCTCCTGTACCTCATCAAATACAGTTCATGAGGATAAAGGGTTGGTGTCATGTGTAATGGGTAAACTTGTTCTGCTACTATGGGCTTTTTGTGTAGATTGTGGCTCTCTCTGTTTCCATGATTTTCCAAGACTCCCTGGCAGAACTGTGGACTGCTTGTTTGGTGTGTGTGCAGTTGGTAGTGACAGCTAGAGTGATACGGATTATACACTGCGCTGACATGTATTATAGGGCACATTGAATGCTCTGTTCAGTGTCAGTGTCAGCGGTGCCACTCAGATAAAGCCGTGGTTTCCTGTTGGAGGCAGACAGACCTGGCTCTCCATCAGAAAAGCCTGGACTTACTATGAAAGGAAATCATTCTGAGGTGCTGCCCACATACATGAATGAGTTCAGCTTATGTCTAACACCTATCCATCCCATAGAAATAGCATCAGTAGAACACTATGTTATTGTTCTGTGGTTTTTTAATATGATCTGTTGATAGTGTTTTTATGTCTCTTAATCTCCCTTAAGCTTGATTTCCAAGTATTAAGCAACTATTGCATGTTAACTAAGGCCCTGTCTTTCTCTACTTTTTTGCAAAAGCACAAGCTTTCACACCCTTGTGTTCTTACTTTCCCCATATCACGCCCTATTTTCCCCCTACTGCCATCAATAACCATCCAAACCAATGCATTCCTATGCTCATTCTAAAGCCAGGGATTATTTTCACTCTCTCACAATCCTTAAAACTGAAGCAGTTGCACAACTGTTTGGCTCTGAGTTTGCATAACTCCAAGTAAGACCAAGAGAAAACCACCAGAGGGACTATGTGTACTTGTGTATGGATTTATTGTGTCTACAGAATGTAACGGTGGAATAAATTCACATGTCTAAATCTATGTGCCGTCTCTTTCTCTTCGTGTTTCAGGAAGTTCATGTGTTCATTAGTGCAGAGAAAGTGGAGGATGTGACAGAGGAGAATATACAAGCTGAGCTCAACAAGGTCCAGGCCAATGCTCCCACCCAGTGGGCGAGAAGGAGCTCCAGGTCCGCTGACAAAGAGGACTTAGTGGTGAGTCTACTCTACTGCAATACCGCGTCTGCCCATCAGATGGCGACAAAGACTTTCATAGACACATTATTGATTGATTGATTGATTGATTGAAAAGTTTATTAACAGCTTGTATATTGGGTACAGTACAGTACAGCTCAAAACATACAATTGTTAAGGGGATGCAGACCAGAGAAAGACTTTCGTCTTGTTTACATCAGGGTCCCCCATTTCCAATTCATCATGTCATTTAAGACATATAAGACATATTTGACATACAGATGGCTTATTTACAATTTACATACAGGTGGTTTTTTTATGACATCATTCAAGACAGAAACGTACCTCCTTAGTGACTTCAGTGTTTTACTTTTGCTATTAGTATGTTGTTTAACCATGCTCGTGAAAATAATAATCATTAAAAAAAAGCTGTTCATATTTTGACATTTTAAGAATGTGTGGCTCTGCATTCACTATTCCTTTGTATTTCATAAAGGGTACAAACTACAGAAAAACTAATGCTGCCATGGAGATGAGACGTATAAACAGAGACTCCTTCTGGGCCCGTGCAGAGGTATGCTAAAGTATCCATCTGTTTGGCCACATTTTAGAGGCTTAAATGTAGCTACCCTGCCGTTTACTCTTTCATTGTTTCCCATTGTTTTTTGCAAGCGTGAAGAGGAAGAGAGGAAAGACGATGATAAGAGACGAGCAGCAGAGGAGAGACGCCGCATTGAAAGAGAAAGAGTTTTAAAAGAGAGGACGGATGCAGAAGAGAGAGACAAGAGGATGAATGAGAAGCTACAGATGATTGAGGAGCAAAGGTGGGAGCAACGGCTTTCAATACTGTCCTATAGTGGCTTTATTTTGTGTAAATTGAAGGAGCAAAGTAAATTAAATTACACAGTAAATGCACCAATAATTATTTACGGGAACACTAACAAGTGGTGCTGTTTTATTGGTCTTCCTGTCTCGCAGGAGAAAACGGGCAGAGCAAGAAGAAGAGCTAGGCAAAAAGGAGAAATTAAAATGGGTGAGTGAAATGATGTGTAGCTAAACCTTTCAATGATCGTCTAGCTTTGGCTTGTAAAATGATTGAAAATGGTCAATTAAATGGCTTTGGGTAGTGGCAAAATGGACACCTGCTTTTCTGCCTTGTGGTTTTCCAGTTTGGTCAGATATGCCTGAAGTCATTGACCGCTGTGTAAGAACTGGATTGACCTTTATCCTTGAGACGTTTGATTCCAAAACTATAATTGTTTCTGAGGATATTATAACTGAACCTTTAATTCATGACCCCCTTCATCATCATATAAACTGCTATATGAGCAAACGGTGGAGTTATTAAAATGTACAGGGGAATGTGGACTATGTACCCGCTGCTGATCGTTCAGTTCGTAATGAGACATTTAATAGATGCATAGTTGATAAGAACATTATCATTTAGCTAATTAACTTGTCACAGATTCCTTGTCTCACGCACTGAATGGTTGCTATGCATATTCACGGCTTGAAATAGCGAAACATGAGACACAACGATTATAGAGTATGCTGAATGCCAAAACATGCCAGGGTTGTTGGTAGCATGTTTAAACTGTGCAAATAGTAAACAAGAAACTGACAAATCTCAGTCTGCAGGTGGGTTTGTTTGTATGATCATAGTTTTGGAGGAGGCGCTCTTCAGCAGTTACACATTAACCTCCGGTATTTGGTTCGGACTGTACAGTGATACCTGTGCGAGGTGAGAGTAATGGTGGTTTTACTTTTGTGTAGTTTAGAGATATTAGAGATGCCTAAGAGTAAAGCAAAAGAAACTGCTTCGGATACAGTGGGGCAAAACAAGTATTTAGTCAGCCACCAATTGTGTAAGTTCTCCCACTTTAAGAGACAAAATGAGAAAAAAAAAAAATCCAGAAAATCACATTGTCTGATTTTTAAAGAATTTATTTGCAAATTATGGTGGAAAATAAGTATTTGGTCAATAACAAAAGTTCATTTCAATACTTTGTTATATACCCTTTGTTGGCAATGACAGAGGTCAAACATTTTCTGTAAGTCTTCACAAGGTTGTCACACACTGTTGCTGGTATTTTGGCCCATTCCTCCATGCAGATCTCCTCTAGAGCAGTGATGTTTTGGGGCTGTCGCTGGGCAACACGGACTTTCAACTCCCTCCAAAGATTTTCTATGGGGTTGAGATCTGGAGACTGGCTAGGCCACTCCAGGACCTTGAAATGCTTCTTACGAAGCCACTCCTTCGTTGCCCGGGCGGTGTGTTTGGGATCATTGTCATGCTGAAAGACCCAGCCACGTTTCATCTTCAATGCCCTTGCTGATGGAAGGAGGTTGTCACTCAAAATCTCACGATACATGGCCCCATTCATTCTTTCCTTTACACGGATCAGTCGTCCTGGTCCCTTTGCAGAAAAACAGCCCCAAAGCATGATGTTTCCACCCCCATGTTTCACAGTAGGTATGGTGTTCTTTGGATGCAACTCAGCATTCTTTCTCCTCCAAACACGTCTAGTTGAGTTTTTACCAAAAAGTTCTATTTTGGTTTCATCTGACCATATGACATTCTCCCAATCCTCTTCTGGATCATCTAAATGCTCTCTAGCAAACTTCAGACGGGCCTGGACATGTACTGGCTTAAGCAGGGGGACACGTCTGGCACTGCAGGATTTGGGTCCCTGGCGGCGTAGTGTGTTACTGATGGTAGCCTTTGTTACTTTGGTCCCAGCTCTCTGCAGGTCATTGACTAGGTCCCCCCGTGTGGTTCTGGGATTTTTGCTCACCGTTCTTGTGATCATTTTGACCACACGGGGTGAGATCTTGCGTGGAGCCCCAGATCGAGGGAGATTATCAGTGGTCTTGTATGTCTTCCATTTTCTAATAATTGCTCCCACAGTTGATTTCTTCAAACCAAGCTGCTTTCCTATTGCAGATTCAGTCTTCCCAGCCTGGTGCAGGTCTACAATTTTGTTTCTGGTGTCCTTTGACAGCTCTTTGGTCTTGGCCATAGTGGAGTTTGGAGTGTGACTGTTTGAGGTTGTGGACAGGTGTCTTTTATACTGATAACAAGTTCAAACATGTGCCATTAATACAGTTAACGAGTGGAGGACAGAGGAGGCTCTTAAAGAAGAAGTTACAGGTCTGTGAGAGCCAGATATCTTGTTTGTTTCTAGGTGACCAAATACTTATTTTACTGAGGAATTTACCAATGAATTCATTACAAATCCTACAATGTGATTTCCTGGATTATTTCCCCCCATTTTGTCTCTCATAGTTGAAGTGTACCTAGGATGAAAATTACAGGCCTCTCATCTTTTTAAGTGGGAGAACTTGCACAATTGTTGGCTGACTAAATACTTTTTTGCCCCCACTCATTGCTTTGTGTCAGCAGTTTTCAGATCATTAATTCAGGACTACATTTTGAAACATTCAAGTTACACTAATCTCAGGTGTTGTCATCTACTTTATCAAATAGTTTAAAATGAAGAGAATGATTGCTGTGTTTGTGCACTGACAGGAGCATCAGCAGAGGGAGCATTTTGATGACATGAGGGCACGCCTGAGAAGGAGTGAGTCCATAGAAAAAGCAGCGGTAAGTGAATCTAATTTATTTTGTACTCTGTCAAAGACCTGACCTGTCTTTTAGAATGCAGTTTTTTGTTGAAACCTTCTTAAAAACTGGCCAAGTCTGTTTAAAAATGTCAATTGAATTCTTATTCTGTATGTTTCTTGACCTGCAGGAGGCAGCAGAATTAGTGTCCCAGCGCTCCATGAACCCCAGGGAGTTCTTCAGGCAGCTCTCATCAACATCATCATCACAGAGTCCCACCAGCCCTGGATCCTCCCGCTCTGGTACGTTCACTGTGTGAGCTTAAAAAGAGAGAAATGCTGAAACTGTTCAAGGTCCGGACGAGTTTATTAAATCACAAAGATCAGCCCAGACAAACTGTTTTCTCTCTCTCCAGGCAAACCCTTCAGACGATACCAGCGCAGCCTGACAGACACAGCCTTCATCTTCACTAAAGCAGAGGACAGCACGTCTTCCTCCCCTTACAGCTCACCCCTGGTCTCCCCATTCTCTCGGGCTGCTACCTCCCCCATCTATCGTGCCACCTCTCCCCCTACAAGCCCTAATTTCCGCCCTGTCACCTCTTCACTAAGGCCCAGAGCCCCCATGTCACCGCCTACATCACCCCTTCGCCCGGCCCCTCCGGTCTCGGCCCTGCCCAGCGTTCCACAAAGTAAAAACCAAATTCAGGCTGTTGTTGAGCCCAGACCTCCGTCACCCACAGAACCCTCTGCACCTCCTGCTTCCCCTGATCTCTTGGCTTCATTGTCCTCCTGTTTGGTTAGAAACAAACCCTCCCACTCCCATGCAGACGCCCTCCCTTCCTCCCCCCCAAACACCCCAAACCAGCCCGAGGACTCAGCTTTCTGCTTCGAGCCTGCTCCTGTTCCAGAGAGAATCACAGGTAGGCCGAGATGGGACACAAACAATTATATTGGGATCTGATAATATAATGATATTCCATTTATTAGGTAATTATTATTTTCTCTCATTGCAAAAACAAAAGGGTCGTGCTGCAATGTGAAGAAGAGCAAATCAATCTGCTTAGTGCCTTGCCAAATACATTAATCAGCTGACATTTAGAAGTGATATGGTAACATTATTCTATTAAAGGCTTAAGTGACTTAAACACTTTTGAAATAAATGTATTCCTCCTACTCTGTGCAAAGCAGCCCGCAGCTTTAAATCAGTGGCCTGTTATACAGAAGGCTTAGCATATTTTTCCAGTCACAATTAAATATTTCTAGAATAATCACACACACATATATATATATATATACACTTTCATTCTACCAAATCTTATCTGTAATGTGCACCCAGAGAACCAGTCTTTTGTATTCCTTATAGTCATAGTGTTTCAGTTCATACACTGCCTTTTTTTTGTGTCTTTTAAAACAATTTACAACCTTATTAAATTCCGATATCACTTTCCAATCAACAGACCTCAACACATCCACTCATGGGCACACTGAGCTGGTCTCAGAAATTGCCTACAAAGTACAGGCTGTACTGGTGGAGGAGGATGAGGAAGAGGAAGAGGAGGATCACGAGGAAGAAAAGGCTGAAACACAACAACAGTCTTGCACCATCATCGCAGAACCAGACGAGACTGAGGATCACGAGGAAGAGGTAGAGGAAAAGAAGGAGGAAGAAGACGAAGAAAAAGAACTAGAAGAGGACCACAAAGAAGAGAAGGAGGAATTAAAACAGGAAGCTGAGCTTACAGTGGACCATCCAGTGGAAAAGCTGCAGGAGGAAGAGGAGGCAAAGGAAGATGAAGAGGAGAATGACCAATCAGAAGACGGCCAGGATCCCTCTGACATGGCTGTGCTTTCAAAGAAAGAGGAAGAATCAACAGCTACAGGTAGCCCCTTTTTTCTTCTTCACATATCCTGTTATTTTGACGGTATTACCATTTGTGACACACTGTCAGACAGCATTTATATTTAAATGATGTACCTGCAGCTTTCCATAAGTTGAAATGACATTTGTATAAAGTGCACAATGACCAAAGATTACAACCATTATTTCAGATGGCGAATCAATTTGTGAAGTAAACAACCACGAGACTGTGGTCCTGTCAACCAATGGGATCACAAATGGCGAGGGCACAAAGGGACAAAATGGAATAGGTTTGGCAAATTAAATGTTCAAACAATATTATACAATGTAGGGTTATTTAGCGATAACTAAATACATGAATTACCTGTGCTGATGGATCTTTGTCAATGCTTTTTCCTCTGGTGTTCCTCAGGGCGGTCTCTGAGTCCTTCTGACACAGAGCTCAGCTCACCAGAGCTGACTGGGAGCTACGATCTCCATGGCACTGCAGAGGAGGACGACGTCATTGAGGAAGAGGACCAGATCATCTCTGAAAATGGACAAGAGGTACTGTATCTACAAACGCTTTGTACTTGTACATTGTTAGTCCGACACTCAACATTTATTTTTAACGGAAATTTGCTATTAGAAAAATGTATAGTTGAATATTGACTTCTAAGTCCAAAGGTCATCATTGATCATATTTCTCTTATTTTCAAAAATGTCCTATGAGAAAAACAAAAGTCTGTCCCTCAATACTTTCCTAAATAAGATTTAGATATTTACAAATAAGTGACAAACATATGTTTACTTTGAAAAGGTTCATTTATGTTTTTTAAATACTTAATACTGTAGTTTTCAGCGAACAGTATATTGTACATGTGTTTGGGACAATTTACTACTAGTTGGTATTTAAAGCACCAGCGTTTGTGGGATTTTAAATGAACTGCAATGGGATAGTGAATAACTTTTTTAATAGGCATTCAGTAGTTTTGTTTAAAAATATCAAATATGACAAGCCTTAATCTTTAAAATTAAAGTTAATAAATACCAATATTTCCATGTTATTCTTTTAGTTTGCCTTGTTAGTTAATCAAGACATGCCGTAAACATGATTACAGCTTTTTCTGATTCCATCTTCCTCTTCACTTCAGGTTTCAGCCGAGCGACAAATGTGTGTCCGAGCGTTGTATGACTACCAAGCAGGTAAGCTGCCATTTACAGGATAATCGCCACACATGTGCAAATAAAGTGCCTCCACTTATAGTAATTACACTGTGATTAGTGGGTCTTCACCATGTTATCTTGCGGTTCCCACAGAGGACGAATCTGAGATCTCCTTTGAACCCGGTGACATCATAAAAGACGTGGAGACGGTGGACAAAGCTTGGTGGAGGGGGTGGAGCAAAGATGGACGCCAAGGCTTATTCCCTGCCAACTATGTAGAGACCATATAAGCAGGCAGAGAAACACAACACACACACACACACACACACACACACACACACAACACACACACACACACACACACACACACACACACACACACACACACACACACACACACACACACACACACACACACACAACTCACACAAACTCAGGGAAACCATCTCCCCTTACATTTGTTCATGTTTTTACCTTAATCCTCCCACTCAAACTTTGTACTCTCTGTTTTGTTGGAAGGATAAAGAACAATGTGACTCTCTGTTTTGTAGAAAGCATAAAGAAACGTGTGACTCTCTATTTTGATGTTTTCTGAGCAAAACAAAATATACTCACAAGTATGCAGAAATTACCCAGCCTTATTTTCTTGGATGAAATAGCGGATACCTTTTCTTGGACCAAAATAACTTATTTCCTTTTGAGATAGAGCAGGAATGTTGGTGGGAGGGATGAGATCACGATGACAAAGGATCAGAAACGTGCTTTTCTTGTGACAAACACAAAGAGTTTTCATAGTGTACCGTCGTTTTTTTTATCCAAACATTTAACAAGCATTCCATTCTGCTCACATTTTGCTTTGTGTGTTACATTTCTAAAAAAATAATTGTACTGCTCTTGACTTGTATATATAATCAAGATACATGTATCAGACATCATCTTATAATCACATTCCTGAGTTATTTTGTAGCACTGTTTTGTTACTGTCTCACAGAATATTTTAATTACCAGAACAGATAGAAAGCAGAGGAAAAAAGGCACCGTGTTGACATCAGTGTTTTGTTCATATGGTGATGTCCGTCAACAAATTGTGTTGTCACGTCTCGTCTTAATTTTTCATAGATTTAAAAAAATGAAAGCATTCACTCGACACACGGATGATAAGAGAAAATTATTTCTATTTTAATCTCCTGTAATATCTTAATAATCTACACTGTATATAAGAATGTATAAAAAGCATCAAAGATCTTCTCTTTTCTATACTTTGCTTGTATGTTGTATGCCTGTTTGATGGTGTGTATGTACTTTGTATTTACTCCAAACTTACAAATATACAGCATCAACAAACTCAGTTTTAAAATGTGTGCCTCCTGTTTGATTCTTCATATTCACATTTTTGAATAACCAAACAAAAAACTGTAACCGATATTATCATTTTTGTCAGATGTTTCTGAGTGTCCACGACCTTTCCAATTTGTATTTATAGCATCTCTAATATGTTGTCATGTTAATGGGCCAAGACCTCTCCGAATTTAAATCGCAACAAAGAATAATTCCTTTAAACCTTCAGCAGGAATTCTACAATTATTCAACATTGCACATAATAAACCCTAAATACGTAATTTACATTAGATGCTAATTACTTTATAAAGCAATTGAAAAATAATAAATACTATTTCCATTTTTTTATAATTATAACTGTAAGAGCGATCATAAGCAGGTGTTAGCTGGTCTCAGATAACGAATTGCACACATTGTGTCCAATGCAAAAAAACTGTAAATAGCTTGTTTGATGATATCATTTTCAGAAAAAAGTACAGTGGATAACTATAAGTACATTTTGAAACAACGTTTTTCCTGAGTAAACTTAATTTCAATGAATATGTTTTTCTTATTGTACTCAACTATTGCGTTGATTCTTGAATACATTTGGTAGATGAAGAAAATGTTGTGAATTGTAGTGCTGTGCTTGCCCCTATAGGTGGAGACATAGCCTTTTCCAATAAGTCTGTGGCAACATTATTTAGAGCAAGCTTACTGAAATGAACAGATTCCTCAGGACAAAAGGCAAAATGTTTTGACAGGCAGAGAGGAGGCTCATTGTTACACACATTTTAGAAGCGGGATATCCAGACATTTCCAAAGCTAAAAATTGCTAATGCTGCTACACCTCAAACAGGATTTTCCCCTTGGTTAATAATGATTGATTGAATATGACATTAATATTTCTCAACCATACACCTTTAATATTTATGTCAGGGCTGGGTTACGCTCTTGTAGTGCCAGTTCAATAACAGTATTTGGCAGATGTGCCTCTGTTCTGAAATAGAGAGGTAATGTTTGACATGGGTCTCATCCTGCGTGAACTGATTCCTGTTGACAGACTAACTAAATCTATCCAGGAGACTATTCTGTCGAGGTTATCCCACAAGGCTAATCATCAGTGATATGTGTGAAAAGGTGATGAGCCTCTTATGAAATACTAATTGGGTTGCCAGGTGAATACCATGAAAAGCTCAAATGAGCAAGATTGAGAGATAAACCCTAATTTAAGTTTTTAATAAGGAAGCAAAAAAAACATGAATCATATAGAAAATATAAAATGTAAATGGGTGTGCATGAGATAGATAAACAGCCATAGAGTAAGGGATACACTGGTAGAGAGAGGCAGATGTGCACAGAGAATGTGAAGTCAAATTGATCTCGACAGTTGTGTCCCCTCTTCTCTCTTCGTTCCCATGGTCATCCCATCAATCCAAGAGATCCCTTGTCTCTTCAGATAAAACAGAGTGATAGGGAGACACCCGCTAATGTGCCAGTCAACTTTTCCCTTCCCCATGCCCCTTTGTCTTTAGGCTGTTCATTCCTTCTGTGACCCTCATCAGTAACAAAAACCCTTCGACTGGGGTGCTAAACTAACAGAGAACACCCCCCTCCCTCCTCCTGACTTTCCCGTTATCTCTTATTTAACTGACAGAGCCTATCTGACCAGTGGAGGACTGACAAGTGTGGGACGGCCGAGGTGAAGTGGTGGTAGGGAAGTGCCACTCATTGTGGTGTTATCAGCACAAAGGCCAACGACAGACACCTAATCTGACCTGGCTGCTGATGGCTCGTGGCTTATTGGCCGGGTTTCTGCTCTGAAGCCGATTCTGGCAAACCTTGGAGGGAGGATAAGCTCAGACACACACAAACATATCCACATAAAAAAAGGTTACACACATACATGGACAAACAACAGCAAACGCCCACTATTCTTAGCATCCATTTCTGATATAACCTCATTCTCCTTGCCACTCCTGAACCCCTGCCTGTCATCGTCTAACTTATAGTTTGCTGCAACTTTTTGTGATTAATTGTGTGTCAGTTTACAAGAGACAAACATCTTACCACAGCAGTCTGATAACTCTGTGTTCAGCCTTCTTTCTTTACTGTACTGTTGCTGCAAGGAAAAGTGTGCAAGGGTGAGAACATGGGAATTTCTTAATGACTCATTGTTATGCAGAAGGAAACATGAAGGTCACCTGTCCGTCCTAAAGGCTTCAGGTTACCATTCCAATATTTGTGCCATACAGCTGCCCAGTTGGATCTTCTTCACTCCTAAGAGCTTTGAAAGTTAAACTACCCACAGCTGTCTTGTGTTCACAAAGACTTGGCAGAACTCCGGCATAGCATGTTTATTTTTAAGACTTAAGAAGCTCCTGTTTCTGTCTTCCCTTGCTGAAATAAAGATCAGTGTTTGTAAGCACCTGAACGTAAGAGCATTCACTGAGAAAATGGCTCTCATTTTCTTCTTGGTTCTTTGTTCTGCAGGGGCAACATTACCACAGGCAACATCTCATCCATCGGATCAAACATTACCCGCAGGCAATAGAAACTCCAGTGCAACCCTTGGTGCGATATCAAAATGTGAATCCACAACTGATGCTGTTTGCTTTTGAGGCGATCTCGAGGCTATAACTGTTATCTGGGATAGAATAAGAAGAAGAATTTCTCTAAACTGTTATGCTTCCTCACGTAAATCAGCTTTAGCTGGGTGATAATTCCATCTAGTGTAAATCTTGATTAAACCTTTGCTTTTACACATCTCTCTTGTTCTTGACATTGTCATTTTCTGTTTTCCCTTTAAAGATAATCTTCAAAACCGCTGAAGTAGATAACGCCTCGGAAGCTCCTGATGGCTCCAGCCAAGATTTTACTGTCAGCATAGAAATCGGCCCATTAACTTCTGAAGCCCTCTTTGGCAAAGCTCCCTTTCCCCTCCATTGCCATCAAAAAGCTATTTCCCTCGGCCAGTCCCACACAACCCTAACAATGAACATAGGATTAGAACATCTCTCTGTGTTGAAGCAAAAAAAGAATAGAAAATAGATTTGAAAGAAATCTCTTTTCACCAGTCATCGTGGAGACTAGTTGGCAGCATTTCCTCTGAGGGATTTTTCTGACAGGATTCCCAAGAGGCGCTTTTTGCTTTTACGATACAATTCTTGAGCTTACAATCAGCCAACATGTGGCATTGTGATCCAATCACAGATATTTTTTCCCCCTCTCAGTTCGTAAATGGTTAAGTCTCTTAGTCTATTGTGAAGGATTCTTCAAAGTGGTTGGGAACCACAGGGGAATATTGGTAATTAATGCAGCAGACTCCGTACAAATGCTTTATTTTCTTGATTCTAAAGATGAAAAAAATAAACCATGCTTTGAATCTATTGCAACTGGCTGTATACCAATCATTTATGTTTCCATTCAGTAAATTGACGTAAGATGTGTTTTGCTTAAATGACATTTTCTGGTCTTTATGACTATCATTGAATTTGAAAGAAATGGGAAACATGACAGCAGCTGTGGTAACCGCTGAAAGGCATCTAGGCAAAATTGTCCAAGATGAATGATGGATAATAGGGTTTAATCTTAAGATTTTCTAAATTGCTTTCAATCCAGTAAATGACTTTAAATGTTTTGGATTGCTTGTAATAGTACACATTTTCATATATTTTGTTAATATAAAAGCAATTTTAAACCGTTTAAAGTAAATGATGACTTTAAACTGAAGACTAAATCGCTTTCAGAAGTCACCAGTCAGCATGTGAAGAAGGGTTAAGTCCTGGTGCTCAATAATGATGTGAGCTGTCCTTTAAGACTAGCAGGGGTGAAAGCCCTCGTTCTCCTGGTGACTCACTCAAATACACACACACACACACACACACACACACACACACACACACACACACACACACACACACACACACACACACACACACACACACACACACACACACACACACACACACACACACACACACACACACACACACACACACACACACACCCCAATCACTGCCAGATGTGACTTTCTTTAAGACAATTCACTTCACAAGTATCTCTGAAGGAACAATGCCGATGGTGGCATTTGAGGGAGACTAAGTGTGTGTGTGTGTGTGTGTGTGTGTGTGTGTGTGTGTGTGTGTGTGTGTGTGTGTGTTGGTGTTAGTGAGTGATGGGGATATGCCGGTGGCAGTGCATGAAAAGGACACATATGAGATCAGATAGAGTTGATACTAATTCACAGCCTGGCCTAAGGACATTAAGCAGGATAAAGTGAGACATCTTTTCTCACACCACTTAGGCTAAGCCCATGGGGACACGTTGTTTATTTATTGGCCGAACTACATGATTTCAGGCTACAATTGTGGTTAGAGACACAGAAAAAATATATAAACAAGTACCTGCAAAAAACAACACAGGGAAAACTACTTTGAAGTTTGAAGGTAACGGACAAAAATGTTTACAACCCAATCAATTTAAATTGTTAACCCTGCAATATAGGACATGTAGAATAATTTGTGCTTACACTGCTGTTAGGATGATTGTGATGTTAACCGTGCAGATTTATAGTGGATGAGACACCCAGAGTCAGCCCTTGGCAGGCCAGGCGCGGTGCCCGCCCCAGGGGAGGTGGATGATGGAGAGCAAACAGCTAATAATTAATACCATGATTACACAGGCTGCAACAACACAGGGAGACAAACCTTCACACACCCAGGCAGGGACCTGACCAAGACTGATAGCACAGGAGCACGTAAGTACACACACACAGATGCACAAATATACAGACACAGAAATGCATGCACTGTACCTGTCACACACACACACACACACACACACACACACACACACACACACACACACACACACACACACACACACACACACACACACACACACACACACACACACACACACACACACACACACACACACACACATATACCATGTATACATCACTTCAGGGGACATTACATTGACTTACATGCATTTCCTGGAGACTTATCCTAACCTTAACTATAACCAACACATGCC